ATACGGATATTAAAAACATTGTAGACATTAGTTCGGGAAGCATTCATACCATCCTACATCAACATCTTGGAGTGAGGAAGCTTTTTTGTCGATGGATCCCTCGTTTGCACTCCGAAAGCGAAACACAGACGCGTGTGGATTAGTGCCACGGAATGCGTCTACGTTTTGAAAACGGGGCATCTAGGCGTGTTTCGGAAATCGTTACTGGTGACGAGACATGAATCTATCAATATGGTCTGGAAAATAACAGGCAATCATCGGTATGGGTCTACTCAGAAGGACAGTTACCGACAAAACTGCAAAGAACTCGCAACATCGGCAAGAAAATGGTGGTTAGTTTTTTTTCGCGGATCGGACAATTGTCGACGTCAATGTTGGAAAATTGTAGGGCAGTCAACTATGAATGGTATACTACAGTTGCATTACCCAAAGCTTTTCAAGCTGAGCAGGAGAGAAAACCAAAGACCGGGCTTCGGGGAATCATGCTGCATCACGATAACGCCTCTTCACATACCTCTCTTAGAATAAAAGCATTTATTGAGGAATCTGGTGTTGAAACTCTAAGTCACCCACCCTACAGCCCTGACTTAGCTCCTTGTGATTTCTTTTTGTTCCCAAGAGTCAAAGAAAAGATAAAAAGCAAGTTTTTTTCAAGCGCCTTCCGACTTGTCAGATCAAGACTGGCAAAAGTGTTTTCAGAGTTGGTTTAGGCGAATGGGACTTTCTATAGAACATGATGCAGAATATTTTGAAAAGATGTAAAATAAATATTAATAGTATCTAGAATACTTTATGTATATCTCAAAACTTATTAAGTGACCTACGTATTCCTATCTGCTGTTGAAAGAGTTGACGGAAATGTTAGAAGAAGATATATTCAAAAATTAACGTCTTTTGACAAGAAAATGAATAGACGGCAGAAAAGTAACTGGAGGTTTTGCTTTGTTGCTGACTTGTCGTCACCCTACAATGCAGCGCCAGCGACTGACCAATGACTGACTTGTTCGTTTAGACTAGGTTAATACCATTGGCGCGGGTGGCGGGGGAGTCGACTGACTTCAAAATATTCAAGCAGGAATATTGAAGTCAGCACTGGCGCCAAAGTGCTGTACTGACCCCAAATCAATTTACATTATGCCAGTAGCGTGTCAGCACTTACTCGCCTCAAATTTGGAGCCAGTTACTGTCCCTGTGTAAATCAACCATTAGAGAACACGCGGAAAAAAAAACAGTGCCGCCTCAATTTTTGAAGTGTATGCAAGTCCGGTCGTAGCCTGATTTGACGAATCGAGTCGATACATCTATTCTTTGACGTAGAATAAGGGTGGGTCGCGAGTGTCGGACACGACTGCTAAAATGATTTGTATTCTTAGAGTAAGTAGAGTTACTAGGTATGTGAGTTTTATTATGTATTGTCTTTTGTAATTATCAGACATTAATGTACTTAATAATATAGTAATTTATTTAAATATCCATTTCAGGTAGATAATATGGGAAAACGCAAAGAAAGTTATTAGAATAAAAAAAAATCCAATTAATACTATTATACTAACTATTATACTTCGCTTTTAGCACTAATGTTATAATAATATAAAAAGTTAGACGAAAATATACCTTATTGTATAAACCATAGCATTATGCCCATATATTTAAAGAAAACACGAATTAAGTAAATTATTTCTCTTTGGCAGTAAAAACTAGCCAATGGTTGCAGCATATAAGATATGATCCACCATCTTGAAGCCGTAGGTATGTCGGCACGTGTCGTTTAGTTCAGATGCACATAACATTTTTAGAAATATTAAATTTATTTAGTTGCTTGATTAGAAACTCTAAAATCCCATTCATAGTACACCTATACATCCCTGAAATGAACAACGGGTTGTTTGTTACATACTGTATAAATTGTTTAAACCACTGTGATTGTTTTTATTTTTATTTTAAAAAATACTAGTAATGCTATTAAACATTACTAATATTCCCTTTAATCACTTCTGGTAAGCTTAAAATGCTTGTGTTAGAAGTGGATCACGACAGTAGTCGAATGGCGGATTCGAACCCACGACCGAGTTCGAGTTCGCGGTCCGCGCCCTGCCATTAGGCTACTGACGCTCCAAAGTTGTTTAAATCTATATTAACCTTTATTTTTTAATAAAAATCATTTATGAAACCCACATTTCCCATATTACACGAAACATTGATAGTATTTTAAATTTGTTTGTAAAGAAAAAATAATGGTTAAAAGAATACCTAGAAAGCGTACACTCTGGCCCCAACCTTTGCTGTCGGCTATTAATTACGGGCTCGTGGACTTCGCTATGTGACAAGCAAATGACACAGAAGAAATTGCAAATGGCTACATACAATGCGTGTTTTTGTGACATTCATGAACATCCTACGAAGACGAACGCGTGATGAATATGTAATGTGTGCGAAGCACCAAAAGTAATTTATTCATGTCCAGGGTGCGTATACTAACACTGCGTAATGCGTCTGTGTGACTAGAAAATATCATTGCAGCTGTTCTATTAGAAGTTCCCACGCTCAAGGACTACAGTCAACTTAAAAATATCATCATTCTAATACCGAAACTGAAAAAGTTATAAACAATTAATCTTTGACAGGCGCTCCTGTGAAATTTGAATTTTGTAGTTGACTCATTATAGTTAGGAGCCATCGACATGTTCAAGATCGTCCCCGCCATTACATCAGATTTGATATACCAAAAACCCTCGCAAAAGAACACGGAATCCTATCAAGTATGATAAGCGAGGCTATTGAAATTAAAAGACATCCTAATTTCAAAAGTGAAGATGGATAGGTGCTGATCTGCGTGGGATCCTATAACTAACAAAATTAAATCCTAACCCAAGCATACCACTGCAAGACTTCAAGATACTGAAAGCTCGTTCTGCGTAGATCGGACCACAGATTAATAATCAAAAACAGAATGTGGCTGGGCTCAAGACGTCATACTAGAGGTGTAAGAGTAACGAAAAAAGCGTACCCGTATGCATTCGTTACTATAACAATTAAGTAGTATTCGCTACTATATCGTATCGTTACGTTACTCGTTACTTCTGGATACCTTATAACATGGCTATGTTATGTTAGACCATCGAATCGAGTCATATTGCGTACGTGTACAGTATGACGTCGCAGCGTCGCAGCATTCATAATTTGTAGAAAGCATATTTATATATTATATATATTAATTAACAAAACTTTGTCTACACACAACAATACCTTTAATAACCAGTAAAAAACTTGTACGACGAATAACCAAATTATACTTTACTTAATAAACAAACATCGCTCTTTGTAACGTACGTTTTTAAATTCTTAAATTCACCGAATAAGCGTGCGCATGCGTAAAATATATGATCACCAAATGTTTCAATACACGCATCAACGGTACTTGCGTGAACTGAAACAGTGTAGATACCCATATTATAAAAAATGCGGGTAACGAAACGCTTCGTTACTCGGTACTAGATGGTGCATCCGTTACCCGAATACATACGGTTTGCTACAGTTTTACGTCAAACATCTTAGTGTTCATGGGTGCTGTAAGAATTAAAAATATATTAATTAAACGCAATAAAATCCTTAAAAATAGCTTTATCCAGTGCTTAGTATTTGTTAATAAAGAAATCATTATCCCACATGGCACATATTTGATTTAGTATAATTTCAAGGATGCAGTGGTATAAAATAATAAACTTCTTGATTTAAAATTATGTATAAAATAAACTGGTTTTACCGGCAGTGGCAGTCTTGCAAAATGCATATCTTTAGTGTGCCCAAAATGTTACATTTCCTACATTTTAGGTAATTTTTTATCAAATGTATGATGTGTAACATTTAGAAAAATTATCAAAACAAGTTTGCTACAATTTTCGTTTTCACAAATTCGATTCGTTAATAATCACGTAAAAAATCCACTGCTGCTTATTATAAATTGTAACTAATATAACTATATAATAAAAATCATTTTATTGTTATGTTTAATTCTGCCCTAAAAATATTTCAAATAGATTGCTTGCATTTTTTCGAACTCCCTTATCTTAATGCCCCAATTATTTAATGATTTCTTATATTTACGCGAACACTACACATTTAAATAAAACTAATTTTTGGAATTTTATCGCGTATATTAACTTATTATATATTCCATACGTTTCATTTTTTCACTTTTCAGCACCCATGGTCACGGAGGCTGAGGTGTATGACGTCCCAATGTCATAGTTAACCACGGCTACCTTCAGATTAAAAATTATTAATTTTTGTTCATATTTCACAGATAGTTGATGTGAAGAATCGACGTTCCGGGAAGTCTGCTGTACAGGATCGCCCCCGTCACAGATTTGATAGACCACAAATCCTCGCTAAAGAACACCGATTCCTCCCCAGGATGATTCGCGAGGCTATTGAAATTAAAAAAAAAACATCCTAATTTCAATAGAGAAGATGGCTGGGTGCTACCATCTGCTTGGGATCCCATAATTAATAAAATTAAATCCCAACCCAAGCATACAACTGCAAGACTTCATGATACTGTAAGTTCATACTGCGTAGATCGGAACAAAAAAAATTAATAATTTTTAATCTGAAGGTAGCCGTGGTTAACTATGACATTGGGACGTCATACACCTCAGTCCCCCCGTGACCATGGGTGCTGAAAAGTGCACGAAGCGTCGGGAATATATAATAAGTTAATATACGCGATAAAATCCGTAAAATTAGTTTTATTTAAATCTCCAATTATTTGTTTTAAGACCCATAAAATAATTATGAAACGCCTGCTATTTCATTATTATTTAGATAAAACTGCTATTAATTATAAATGTATGGCTACATCAATTAAATGTAAATTTTCAGACATGTCAACGGCAAAGTAACTTTCAGTTATAGTTATGTGTATATACGGAAGCTTTCAGTTAAACCATGCTGGCAACACTACGCCACTGCCAATGCCAATTTATCAATTAAATATAATTAGTTACAGATTTAGAAAAACGCTTTTCTAGGGGCTTTGAAGGATTTATTATAATATTTAGCTATGCTAAATTATTGAAGTGACGTTTTAAGACTCAATAAATCACTATAAAACGTTTGTACGTTTGTATCAATCAATATTAAGAATGCGATCAATAGGTAAGCTTTTATTGTACTTATAGGAAAAACCCATACTAATTTTCATTTCAGCTGTTCAGCCTAAACGTAATGTAATAAATATATGTACATACTATGTGAAATATATTTTATTTTTATGAAATTGTAAAAGATACTGGGTACATATTTTTCTTTGTTTTTATTTATTAGGATAAACTTAAAATTTTGATGGTATGTTAGAATTATTTATAATAAATTATCGGTATATTAGTTTATCCAAATTATCTGCTTACAGCCTAAAAATGTCATCGTATGAGAAATTGAAACTTCTTATCTGGAAGAATTTTTTATTACAAAAAAGACACAAATGGCAAACTATTTTCGAAATAGCTTCACCTGTGATATTTTCATTGTTTTTAATACTAATAAGATGTCTTGTAAATCCAAGTGCAAAACCAGATATTGTATATCAACCATTTCTCCCAACTTACTTCAATATAAGTGGCAGAACATTGTAAGTGAATTGTTATTTTTTTCTATTTTCTAATTACATCATGTGCATCTATCTTTTAGATGTACTAGTCAATAATCTTGACTGTGAAACATAAAGAGTAAATATTGTTTTTTGTTACCATAATTTACACTTTAAATTGGAATAAATGATGTTACTTTTAGAGGCAATCTTACCACAGCAAAGAGAGAAGGAACACTAGCATTTTCACCTGAAAATCCACTAACACGGAAAGTAACAGAAGATGCAATGGCTATGGTTGCGCTTGATAATCTCAATGGCCTTTTGGCTCTATTGTTTGATACAAAAATGTTACCACAGCCAAAAGGTTTTAAAAATTCAAGTGATTTAGAGAAAGCCCTAACTCAGCCCAATGTTATGAACCACATTTTGGTTGGCATTCAATTTGATGACAATATGGCAAGTAAGTGATTGTCTGGTAATTTTTTTTTATATGGTCTTATTAGAACTTTATAGCAGTGCAATACTATTAAATAAGAAGCAAATTAAAATCAACATCCTTTATGTAATCTGAATTCTGGATTATTTCATTTCATTTTATTTTGCAAAAATAAATCACACTAGAACCTACAAAGAATGGCCAGGTTTGTTATGGTATTTTACTTAAAAGGTAATTTTGACTGCATATATGCTATTTTTAGATGCAACGAGTTGGCCCGATGATATATCTGTTACACTGAGATTTCCTGCTGTGATGAGAACTCCTATGGTAGAACATCCATTAAGGGCTAGTTGGAGGACTAACTTGCTATTTCCTGTGTTTCCCAGACCGGGTCCTCGGGAACCAGATGATTTATATGGAGGGAAACTTCCAGGTACTTTTCACATTATTAACATGTGACTGATATATGATCTTGTTTTTGAAATGGTTTAAATATTTCATTGTATGATTTATATTAATTTTTCGTTTAGGTTATTCACCAGAAATGTTCTTAGCAGTCCAACATGCTGTATCGCAGGAAATAATAAAGCAAAAATCAGGAAAATCAATCAATACAAAAGTATATCTTCAACGTCTACCTCAGATTGCATATAGAGATGATGATTTGTTAATAGCTTTAGAAAGATTTATATCTATGATAATCATGTTATGTTTTGCGTACAGCTTTGTTAATACAGTTAGAGTTGTAACAGCCGAGAAAGAGTTACAACTAAAGGTAACTAACCTTTGTAATGTTTCAAATATTTTTAAATTTTAAAAATTCCATTTGTATAAACTTCTTAATTTTCCATAAGAGCAGTGCCCAGATGTAAGTTATAAATTATTAAATTATTTTTATTTTATTTAAATTCTTTTTTATTGCAGGAAACAATGACAGTTATGGGGCTTCCCTCATGGCTACATTGGCTTGCATGGTTCATCAAACAATTTTCTTTTCTATTTATATCTGTTATTCTTATGGTAATATTATTTAAGGTAAGTAAATGTCATTATCTAATATATAAAAATTAATATTTGTTCATTGATATTTTATATGCAGCCATACCATTCATCCGATTGAGGTGAAACTTTGTTAACTTATTACTTGCACTAGCGCCAAGGTTATAGGCATAGTACAATTAACTTACAGTAGGTGGCATGCACATTGTACCGACACATCTATTTGAAAATTATGTATCATACAACTTCAATTAATGTATGATCATTCCTTACAACAATATAACTTTTTCAAATTTAAAACGATATTTCCACAATTATTTCTTCTGTGGCAGCATTTTGCCAGGTACCAGCAGTATCTTATAAATGAGATATTAGTTTTAAATAATTTTTTACTTTATCAGATTCTCAAGGAAGCAATTGTTATTCATCAATATAAAAGATCATATGAAAATTTAATATAAACATTATATATTGTCCATTGATAGCATATCAATACAGAAAATACATTTATATTATTGGTTTTTAGACTCCATTCAACTCAACAGCAGCTGGAGACAAGTATGCTGTTCTGACATTTACACCATGGTCAGTTTTGTTGTTTTTTATGGTGCTGTTTGTAATAGCCTCGTTGGCATTCTGCTTCATGGTCAGTGTTTTCTTTTCAAGAGGTATGACATTTTTAATACTACATTCTGGTTCTATTTTTAATCTGTCCCATTCCAATTTTCTATGATTATGAATACTATATGGTACTCTTATGAATACCTATGTATTATGTAAGTTAGTAGATTAAAAATTTCAAATTAATGTAATTTAAAATTTTAATATACACATAATGTTTTTTTGATGTGTGTACGTCATGCAATTTCTCAATATTTTATGCAATTAAAAGAAGCTAACTTATCATTTTCTAAATTATAAAATAGTAATGTGTGACTTAATGAACCCAGAGTGTTCAGATCTCATCTGAAACTATACAAGTGCACAAATTGAGTGTTCACTGACCACCTGAAGAGTTTATGATGGACCTTATAATATGTTTTATATTTATGTCATAGGAGTTAAATTTTACGTATAATGATGTATGTACTCTTGCTGTACTATGATGAGGTAACTATGATCACTTCCAATGGTAGTCAAAAGTTCTTCATGGTCAAGATCACCAGGAGAACATCAAGTACTAGCAACTTTATCATGTTGTATGCATTAAAGACCTAATTTATGATTACGCCTAGGCATAATGCAGTACTCGACAACATTCAAACAATTTACATACTGTCATAATTGTAATAATAATAAAATTTATGAATATATTAGTTTATTTTTGTAAAAACTGTAACTTATTATCAGCATTGTACATTAGTCAGTGACAATACATGGTAATTGTTTCATGACTAATAACACTGACATGATTAATGATACGCAAATGCACAAATAGTGTTTTCCTAGGCGTTTCTCTACTGCAACATATTTTTATTATGCGAGACAAATGTATACAAAATGTTTAGGTAGAAATTAAAAAAAATGGAGTAGCCGATAATTTCATGAAAGAAAGAGCGAACGATTTATGTCTTTAGTCAGTTAAACTTCTTCAGATATACAGTGAACATCATAATACTATGCAAATTATCTTTGGCCGTACGTATGAGTGGGATTACAAAGGCATTCTTTGAGTACATAAACCCGATGTAATTTGCTATTGTAGGTAGGTTAAATACTACCAAGAATACAGATAATAAGTATTCTATTTAGTATAATAAGTATTCTAATAGCGTCAGTAGCCTAATGGCAGGGCGCGGACCGCGAACTCGAAAGGTAGTGGGTTCGAATCCGCCATTCGACTACTGTCGTGAACCACTTCTAACACAAGCATTTTAAGCTTACCAGAAGTGGTTAAAGGGAATATTAGTAATGTTTAATAGCATTACTAGTATTTAAAAAAAAATTCTACTTCAACACCGCCACCTTGGTGATGAATTCCTATTACTATCGAAAGTTATCCTGTATTTACCCACTCTTACCTGTTTCATTCTCCCTGTATCCAATAAATCGCAATATTAATAACAATCATAAAATGACAAGACAAAAATTTGGCGTACTGATGAGAGTGATCACAAAGGTACTCGCTCGTTTTTTTAAATACACGAATCCGATGTAACTTGCCTTTGAATTTATATTTAGATGTTACCAGAAACAGATAATGTTATCCTATTTAATCACTGCTACCTTGGTGATAAATTATTATACTATTATCTTGCGCACTCTTTCCCGTTTCATTATAGCCGTCACCGACGTAATATTTATGACAAAATACTACCAGACAAGAACTTATTTCGCTGCTAAAAATTACTTCCGTTGGCATTCCAACCCAGGTAACAGTGATGTAGTAACCTATCCACTATCTTTCTAACAATTGTACCTAATACAACAATAAAAAAATATGCACAAATATTTAGTGTAACAGCCAGGACCCACAACAGTATCTTACAAATGCTTTTAATTAAAAAAAAAAATTATTGCCTCAATAATGGTTTTAGTAACTATAAGATTTTAACTGGATTACTTAGAATAAATATAAACTGATTTCAGTTAACATTAAATCTGATTTTTTTTTAAATTTATCATCAGATTTTAAAATGTATATGGCACTATCCAATAAACAAAGAAGGAGAAAAACAAATAAAGTTTGTTAACGAATCTCTTTTAATAAAGTGTATATGTTTATATTAAAAAAAAATAGGCTAATTGATAAACGATCCCTATTTTCAGTTGGTTGAAAAGAACATTAGAATTTAGTACCGCCATGCTACTCGACCTTTAATCAAGACGTATATGGTTTATATTAAAAGCTATTTTTATACTAGGCCTTCCATTGACTTGATGTCAACGGTTTAACTAAACATCACATAATGCTACGGCCACACTACCGTGATAAGGCAATAATTATAGCCATAATTGAAACAACACCTAGGTGTAGCGACGATTTATGGCCATTATTATACAGTGTCAATTAATATGCATATACCGGTAGGCAATAATTCCGGTGGCGGTCTTTTTCACATATCATACAAGGTTACCGCGGTCATTTTTGCTTCAAGTGGCCACACTACGTTTTGTTCAGGGTGCGACGTGAGCTCAACAGAAAAAATACTAACCTATTACGCTTTCAGTGCATTTTTTGAGTGTTAATTCTTATAATAGTTACTGACACTCATAAAGTACAATACCGCCGCAACTTCAACCTCTATTTTGACAATATTTTTTTATATAATAAGGATGACAAACGAGCACACAGTCCACCTGATGGTAAGTGGTTGCTGTGGCCCATAGACATCTATCATCGTTTGCGAATTAAAATGCAGATGCGTTGTCCGCCTTGAGGACTAAGATAGAATGCCTCTGTTCCATTGAAAAGGGTATCTGGTTCTTTACACTCACCATACGAAACACAGCAGCATTAAGCTGCTATTTTACGCTGGTATTCTGTAAGAGCGAGGTCCTTCCCCGGTCGAGCCGACCCATTCGTGCTACAACTATACGATTAATATAACTGCAGCATGGCTCTACCGCGTAAAAAGTTTTTTTCCGCCTAGTTCATTGTCATATCTTGGTAAACTAGTGGTAATCACACTACTTCACGCAGTAATTTTAACAGTATTTTAATGCCATAATTATTCTGATAAACGAGCGGTAGATAGTAAGATAGTGTGGCCGTAGCTTAATAATACAAGTACTAATTGTCGTCAATTGAAAGTACAGTGTAGTTAAGAATGTGACACAAGTTGCTCTGTTTAATGACATTGTTGTTTGCAGCGAACACCGCCGCGTCATTTATGGGTCTTGCGTGGTTTTCTACCTACTCTGTGTTCATGCTGACTCAAGTCCTATATGAAGATATCAGTTTGTCCACTAAGCTTTTGTTGAGTTTAATATCTAATACGGCCATGGGATATGCATTTCAAATGATAATTATATGTGAAGGTACTTCTAAAGGTAATTTTACAAACTGTATTATTTATTAATAGGATCAGGCGTTACTTTGCGGAATGCTGTTCTATTAAAGATGTTAAAGTTAAATTAGCTAATAAAATTACATTTCTTACCTAGTTTGTAGAGCACCTCCCACCCTCCCTCTATTGCGTACGGATCTTTACTTATAAATTTTTAACATTTTAAATGTATTATTTATATCTACTTACATAAGCCGTGTAGTGGCGATATAAGAATATCCACTAGCCCATATCATCCCGTGGGTGTCGTAAGAGGTGACAGAGGGAAACAAATCAGGAGATGGGCAGCATTGAAAATTTGATGGGCAGATTTGAAAGGGACGAAGAGAGAACGAAGTGTGAAATATGGGTAAATCAGGAATGTCTAGAACAGGTAAATGAAATTGTATACTTGGGGAGTGCTTTTAGCCGGGATGGAAGATGTGATTTAGATGTGGACAGGCGTGTCGCTGCCGGGAACAAAGTCAATGGTGCCCTGACTGCGTTAGTCAAAAGGCAAGGCGTAGCGAAGAGTGCACGCCTTGCAATACATAACGCAGTGTTGGTACCGACTTTGTTATATGGCAGCGAAACCTGGGTATGCCAGAAGAAGCATAAAAGTAAGTTGAATGCAGTGGAGATGCGATCTCTTCGTAAAATGTGCGGCGTTACCATGGCCGACCGAAAGCGAAACGAAGAGATTCGCAATATGGCAGGTTTGAAAGATGACCTTATCACAAAAATTGATAAGGGCGTGCTTCGGTGGTTTGGGCACGTTGAGCGAATGAGTGAAGACCGAATGGTGAAGAAAATATATAGCGCGAAAGTTAATATTAAAAGGTGTCGAGGTAGACCGAGACTAACTTTCGAAGACCATGTGAGCAAATTGCTCGAAGAGGGTAGGGTCAAAAGTACTCGGATACCTAGACGTGCATGCATGAAGAAGATAATGAATCTGAAAGAAGCGAAAGAGGTTTGTAAGGATCGTGACACTTGGCGATCTGTTCTCTCTGGCTACCCCGTCAGGGATTGTGCGTGAAGATAAGTAGTGGGCAGCAGCGTCTTCCTAATATCGACTAAAAATAAAAAATAAACTGCAGTAGACAACCCGCTTGCCAAGCGTGGCAACTATGGCAAAATATCCCTCTATGGGACAATCTATATAGGTGACCTATATATTATTCTAAGCCAGCGCTTAACTACAATCCCATCTAATGGTAAGTGGTGATGCAGCCGAAGATAGTGAAGCGCACTGATTTAACAAAAGCCTATTCACTCTTCCCTTGACGACACTCACATTGTAATCGGATGGAAACACAGATGCTGGCAACTTATTCCACTCCTCTGCTGTACGCATGACGAACGATATAGCAAACCGGGTTCGAATGCGTGGTAAGTCGACAACAAATGGATGGAGACTGACCGAGCGTCTTCTTGACCGATGGTGGAAAGGAGAGGGAAGAATTAAATTATGCATTTCCTGCACACACTTTCCGAAATGCATCCTGTAGAAAACCGAAAGGCTGGCTACTTTGACCTATGTTCAGCAGTGGACTGTAATAGGCTTAAGTTTTGATGAAATAATCTGTCAACGTATTATTAATGTACTACAGCCTGTAACTGTATCATCAGTAGCATTTGCAATTATCGGCACGCTTGCTATAATAAATATAGTAATCAGATTGCTCTGTAGCGCCGGTCTGGTTATTTTATATCTAATACGAAGTGGATGTCGTCTATCAAAGGCCATGATATCTTTTTTGCTTTTGCTATATCATCTTACCACACCATAATAAAGTGAATGATAATTTTCCCTATACCGCAACTATATGACTTGCATTTTACGTTCTTATGTATATTCGTACACCTTACACTTTTAACTCACTGATGTATACTCGTAGTGCGACTTCGACACGGTAAGTAAAAAATAAATAAATAACGTATAGATTGATTTATAACGAAGAAATTCTTATGTATATAAAACCCGACCCGTATTGAGGCAAAACGTTAAATATGAAAATAGCAAATATTAATATATCGCCACACAAAACGATTATTTAGGTAGAATAAAATAATAAGAAAATAGGTAAAAGAAAATCAAAATTTATAAAACGATACTTTGGCATCATACAGATAATTAATGAATACCTTGCCGTCGCTCTAGAAATTGTTATAAAAAAGGCTCTCTTATATCATAGATACTCTTAATTATAGAGTCTATCAAATTCTATGACTTTCATGTGTCCGTATAGACGCATGTAAAAGTCCTTGAAAAGGTAAGTAATCCTTAAGCTATTTTGATATGTCTGGCTCCGTAGCGCAGTGGCTTAGCAATGAGTTACAGCGCTTAGAATCGCGGGTTGCTATTCCGCACGGAACAAGTACCTATTTGTATGGCCTACAAATAATTGTTCCGGTAAACTGTCCCCACGTTACTAGAGAAAATCCTAGTGTAGAGGTAACTATTTTAAAAAAAATAAGAATATGTACTTATCCCTTACATTTCTCATTTGTGTAATCGATAATGGTATGATATAATATTATAATGTTGCAATTTCAACTTTTGTGATATAAGTAAATGGCGGCGTTGGAGAATCTATCATCCCATTTCGTTCCGTGGGTGTTACAAGAGGCGACTATAGGGAATACCAAAAAACATTTTACGGCTTCCGCTAAAATGGCGTTTAGGCCAGACGTAAAATACCCTGATTGGCGACGAGCTACAGCGACGAAGATAAAATTCGTCTGGTACTGCAATCGCCAATCTGCCCGCCAACGCCAGCGTGACGATTAAGAAGAAAGTAGTAATTTCAAAATAACTGTTTAAATCAGGTAATAAATGCGAAGCCAAATTTTCGAACTCAAAAGTTCAAACCGTCAAAATTTGCGTCGACATTGCAATAAATTACACAAATTTTCACATTGTGGATGTTTAAGTTCAAACTCGAGATTGTCTGATCCACAAGGTCGACCTGTTTAAATTGTTTCGGTGTTACTAGTTTTTTGTTCTTTTTTTATGATTTACGAAGATACTAAATATCAAAGAATACCTAATTTTAGTTAAGCGGTCGGTGTGTACAATAAAACCAAAAATAATTTGAATTACTAGTAAAAAGTATACGCCTTATTATTATTATTAAAGTGGCAGGGTGCGGACCGCGAACTCAAAAGGTCGTGAGTTCGAATCTACCATTCAACTACTGTCGTGAACCGCTCCTAACACAAGTATTTTAAACTTACCAGGAGTGGTTAAAGGCAATTTAAGAAATGTTAATGGCAATACTAGTATTAAAAAAATATATCTGCAAAATTGTAATCTCTTGAAAAATGTATGAAGAACATGTATTATTTAAAGAACATAGCGTCAGGAGAGGCCCATGTTACTTGTGGAGCACATAAAATTAATTATTATTTACTTCTTTCATATAATAGATTTCCGCTTAGTAACTCTTGATTCAATTAACAATGGAGAGTTGACAAGCTGATTATAATGTTGATGACTATAACATGCCTCACCATATAGGGTGCCTCTAGTTTATTTTATTTTACAGGGTTACAGTGGAATGAGTTTTTTACTCCGATATCCTACCACGACCAATTTCAGCCAGGGCATATAGTTCTCATGCTGATACTAGATACAATACTCTATATGTTGATAGCAATGTACGTAGAGAAAATTAGGCCTGGACTGTACGGAGTGCCATTGCCTTGGTACTTTCCTTTCACCAAAAACTTTTGGATGCCCAATAAAAAGAAAACCGCAAGTAAGTATTTTCATTAAGAAAACTCCTACACCACGTAGAACTCTGCCTTAACTATTCTAGATGAGATTATAAATTGACGATTATAGTCGTTAAATATTTCTTATTGTTTCTTTTTTAGCATTACAAAAAAGACATATTATACGGGTTTTTTGTTGAACTCGTTTCAAACATTAACCAACACTTGTAATTTAATTGTATTGCATGTGATAAATAAAGTAGTTAAGGATTCTCGAAAATTTGGTGGTTTTTTTCTAATGCACATATATCTTTAAGATTTATAGATTACGAATCAAAATTTTGGTACTTATATGATTTTTGACTATATGATCTTGAATTGCATAAAAGGAAAAAACGATAACATTAATTACCTCGATAAAAAAATAAATGTAAAATAGTATCTAATTAGTTACATTTCTCCATGCTACCACAATATTTTTACGAATTAGTTAATGGAATTATTTTAGAAGCATAGTCAATAATCATATTTAAGTTAACATAAATCATTGTTTAATACGTAACGTAGTTTTGTTAAAAAAAAAATGTTGTTTGGCGCTTACGTAGTTTATTTCCGAGTGCGTGCTCGGTATATTATTGTATTTTGGCACTCCCTCAATCGTCCGTGAACTTCATCGACGACGGGCTAGCCACGCTCCTAAAACTACGATTAATTTTCAAGGTATCATCTTAAGAGCCGTAGTAGCTCATGTGCTGAGCGCTTGCCGTAATAAATCGCGAGCAACCTCGATCCCGATTCTGAGAGGCGGACGGGGAGGGCGGTGGGGCCCTATATTTCTATTTTTACATTTTCATATGTGTTTTCCGATATAAAAAATAGCGACTTGAGCTCGCTTCCCTAAAATGTGAAGTATGTATATTTAAAACATTTACCCACAGATAAGACAATAAGTTCATAATATAAAAAGTATAGCTTCCCAAACATGAAATAATTTTAGAATAAAGATGTTTATTTTTGACTATGAACAGTACCATTACTCAAAATAGAAGAAGCACGCCAACGGAAAATATTATTTCGTGAATAACTTGTGCACCTTGGTTTACAGCATAATAATTTCCAATCCGTTCGGGGGATATCATATCAGATGCACATGTAATCATCGCACATGAAATAATGTTAAAAATTAAATATCACAAATATTTTAAGTATATCTCACGAGGTATTACTGATTTATTAGAACCTATCTTAAAAATTGTTGTTGTCAAATAGTCACGAGCAACAGGTACGGTCACCATAAAAAGTGAAACGTCTCCTTTCGTTGTTTGGAAAATAAATCTGACGTAGACACTTCAACACGGTATAGGGATATTTTAATAACACATTTAACACGTGGTAGAGCCATGCTGCAGCTATATTAGTAGTAAAGTTGTAGCACGAATGGGTCCGCTCGACCGGGGAAGGACCACGCTCTCACAGAATACCAGCGTAAAATAGCAGCTTAATGCTGCTGTGTTTCGTATGGTGAGTGTAGAGAATCGGAGACCCTTTTTACTGAAAAAGAGGCATTCCATCTTAGTCCTCACGAGTGACAACGCATCTGCATTTTGATTCACAAACGAGGATAAATGTAGATGTCTATGGGCCACAGCAACCACTTACCATCAGGTGGACTGTGTGCTCGTTTGTCACCCTATCCTATAAAAAAAAACATGAATCCCAGTGTATGTCAATATTTTCTTAAAACATGTATATATCCAAGAAAATTTTATTAAATAATCTACCATTTTTATATAAACATTGACTTTAAATGAGATTTCAGATTTTTATACAGACAAAAAAAAACGCAAGTTGGAAAACTACATGATGAAAGTTTAAATTTTTAAGTATAAAAAAGAAGTAAAGTAAAAACCTTTTAAGAGCGGCTATTAATTAATAGTTAAACAATGCAGCCATGACATTCATAATGCATCTGCATCGGTTGGGCATACTCAAAATGAGGTTGTCAATATCTTGTTGAGGAATATTGTCCCAGATCCTACTGAGATGCATAAAAAGTTGTTCTTCTGTAACCAAATTTTGAGGAAAGTCCTGATTATCCCGTTTATCCACCCTAGGGTGGATACTCTGAAACGCGTGTTCAGCTATCCAACCCAGACGGAATGTATAATCGGAATTTACTTTAGTTTGTTCTTCCGACTTTTTACCCAAAGTACGGTTCAACTTGCACACTTTAATTATTAATTAATTTTTTAAAACCACAAACTTAAACAAAAATCATATTACGTATTGCCGTTATTAATTCCCTATGCTGTGTTGATGTGCATATATGAACAAACACAACTTTCTTCTTTATTACATTACATTGTAAATAAAATGGATAGTATTTTTTTTCTGTCCTATTTCATTGTTAACTATTAATTTACCAAGTCCGCCTATTCGAAATATAAATTTTGTCGAAGCGTCACCGGCCTTTATACATCCAATTATTTTTATTTGAGTAGACTCAGCATCTATTTTTATTTTAGGAATAACCAAAAAGGACGGGATTGACACAGAATATAACGATGCTCTTTTACAAGTCGTCCACGATGAAGAACCAAAAGGTGTTCCCATGGGTATCTGCATAGAGGTTAGTGACAATATAAATCATCTCATCAGTAGCTTATTCATATTTATATAAATATGTACACGTACTTTAGTAGTATGACAAATATGCAGTCTTGTTTAGAGGCTAGAAGAAGGCTTATCTTATGGTATACAATATGTAAAGAAAAACTGTACCCAAGCCGTGAGATTTTACGTATTGTCATATTATTATGTTCATGTAATCCTTTTCAGAAAATAAATAGAAAATAGCCCACAAAAGGTCAACAGCCACAGTCAGGTAACAATTCACGTACAAAGACCGTCGCCGACAAGTGTTGTCAAATTTAAAAAATTTGCTAAATTTTAAGCAAATTTTAGTAAATAACAAGTATTGTTAAGAACAATAACGTTTTTATATTCAATAAATATGATGTTTTAAATTTTTTTGTAATGTCACTATACTACGGTATCTGTCGTCTCCTTTCAGAGCGGGGACAGGGTTTTTATTACATCTATACTAATATAATAAAGCGGAAGAGTTTTTTTGTTTGTTTAAACGCGCTAATCTCTGGAACTACCAGTCAGATTTGAAAAATTCAATATAAGCAAAATAATTCAATACTTGGGTGGGCGCGCGAACGACGTTTAATACCCTAGCCGTTATAAAATGCTTGAACTTAGGTCATGTCGCGCACCTCGGACACATGATGACACGGGTGAAACCGCGGGGCACAGCTAGTATTGTATATTTCGAGTTTCGAATTAAAATTATAATTTTTTTATGTTTATTATTCCCTTTAACAATTAGGCCGTATTTAGTGCTACTATGACAGTCAGTGACAGACATCATTCGCCCACAACTATACTAATTACTCAACTATATTAAATAATGCTTATCGTGTCCAGCACTATCAGGAGCGCTCGTCCTTACTGCGTATTTCGGTCTGCGCTGCGGGCGTGCTAGGCTTTTGTACTGTTGGCCTTTGGACCGTAGTAGGTACCGTTGCGCCGAAAATGGCTCGTATAGATACAAAATACTTTGTAATTGCTCAATTTGAAATCATTGTATGAATTGAAAACATTTTATAAAATTCTCCATTAACTAAGATATTTTCAATAAGTAGGTGGAAGTACCATATTATGGGACTTCCACCTACTTAAATCTCTATACATTTTGTCTGAAATCAAATCGAAATGTTTTCCGAACGCCATATGTTGGCGCGTGGAATGTTTAATCGGTCAAGGTCGCTTGGTTATCTCCTCACACGTGTACTCATCCAACGGATAGTGTATTGCTTTGTTATAGATGGAGTGACGACCTCATGATTAAGGCACGAGGGTAAGTGGCTATCAATATCGAAAGCCTATGTTCATACGTGGTAATCAGGCTGCAATGTTGTAACACAAAGCTGGACCGGGGAAGGACCACTCTCTCATAGAATACCAGCGTGAAATAGCAGATTAATGCTGCACTGTTTCATACGGAGAGTGTAGAGAAACGGAGACTCTTTTTACTGGAAACGAAGCATTCCATCTTAGTCCTCAGGAGTGACTACGCATCTGCATTTTGATTTTTAATCTTAGCATCCAATTACCATTAGGTTGGCTATGTAATAAGTATTCATTTGTTACCTTTCTTCTACAAAAACAACTGCACATGTGATGCTGATGATGATTGATGATAATCATAAATCAACCTTGTCGACTGATTATTCCAGTCAGTATAAGTTTATACTAAACTCACCACGCTTATTATGAGATCGCATAATACTGAGAGGTTAAGCTATCATATGAAAACGTTCTCATATTTCAGAATAACAATGATCGCAGAATTTAACTTAGACTGAGGTCTGTCTAATGATGAAACCCACTCTAACAATGTTTCCCTTTTTTTTCCAATACATTCCTCCCTCTTCAATAAATCAATTTCTGTTACAGCTGTACGCCTGTGGAAATCCTTGCCTATACCCATTCGCCATGCTCAATCCCTCTTTTCCTTCAAAATTCTACTCAAAGCTTATTGCTTGGAAATGCTTGGAACCCTAATATTTCCCATCGTACTTCCTATATTTTATTGTGTCTATGTATCACAAAATCCGTATTTATTTATTTTATCTAAAGAGTACTTTCAGTAAGTTTCAAGACAATCGCCCCTAAAATAAAAAATAATACAAATTGTAACACCCTATTTCACCTTCATAGGGATTGAATTTTCCAAAATCCTTTCTTAGTGGATGCCTACGTCATAAAAGGCAGCCACTGTCCAAATTTCAGATTTCTACGTCAAGTGGTTTGGACTGTGCGTTCAATTTCCATTACCATCCATCCATTACAGCCTATAAAAGTCCACTGCGGAACCTAAGATTTTGCCATAGTTGCTACTCTTGGCAAGCGGGTTGGCAACCGCAGTTTTTTTATAATTTTAAGTAGGTCAGTCTTAGTTATCAAAGAGATGCTGCTGCCCATCTACTGTTTCACCCACGGGTATGGGTATAGGAAATTCTCACACCGCCACTACACGGTGACCGTTCCTTTTATGTCAAATAAATTATTGTTGTTTTACTTAAACATAAACGAAATTTTTAAAAGGCCGGCAACGCATCTGCAATTCCCCTGTTGTTGCAGTTGGTCATAGTCTGCGGTAGTTACTTACCATCAGGTGAGCCGCATGCTCGTTTGTCCCCTCTACTATAAAAAAAAATTGTAATTAAATAAAATATTACTTTGGAATCGTATAGTAGAAAGAAACCGAAAACAAACCTTGTTTACCCTTCAATTTATGTCGAACAAATTACATTTATTATTTAAATTTATGTAAGATTACATACTTTAATTTGTTTTTCTTTACCTTTCTTAAAAAAGTATCTACACTACAAAGTTAACCCAATCCTGGTAGACATTTTTGAAAATGCATCCCAGGTTTATAGTGAATACAAAGTCATTTAAGTAGTAGTAATAGACCGGACATCAGCAACAAAATAGTCAGTAGTCACCTCTTATATGTCCTATAGGATACATTTCGGATTTGTGTCATTTAGTCTTAGTGACATCGTCAAAAGGTCAAGACGCATTCGTTTCCTAAGTTTAAAAATATTTCTTAAAGAAAATATGCCCGATTGTGCATTAGCTTATTGTAAGTCCCGATATGTAGCAAAAACTGAATGTGATTTCGGTTTATTATCGCAAGTAGTATAATGTGTATTTACCCTATAATTTTTAAATTTTATTATTTCTGGTAGATTGTTCTAGAACATTTTTTTATATGAAAGGGGGCAAACGAGCATGCGGCTCACCTGACGGTAAGTGACTACCGCCGCTCATGAACAACTGCAACATCGGGAGAATTGCAGATGCGTTGCCGGCTTTTAAAAAAGGAGTAGGCTCTTTTCTTGACGGTCTCTAAGTCGTATCGGTCCGGAAAAATCGCTGGTGGTAATCGATTACACAATGAAGTTGTGCGAGGAAGAAAACTTCTAAATCGCACAGTGGTGGACCCCCAATCATCCAGATGGTATGGATGGTATCGCGAGTTTTGTCGCGATGTGCGATGGTACATTTGAGCCGTTGGAATTAGTCCGAACAATTCCGCAGAGCACTCCGCGTGATAGATGCGATAAAATACACAAAGACATGCAACATCTCTACTCTACGCAGTGCCAGTCAAGCCGATCGGAAAGAACTCGGTCGTCGACGATTCGAACCGTTCTGCGCTGGATGCGGTTAAGTGGAAGGAGATGGCACTGGGGAGCCCCTGCCCAGAGATAGGAACAGTACTCCATGTGAGGCCGAACCTGCGCCTTGTAAAGTTGCAAGCGGTGGTGCCGGCATGAAATACTTAGAGGCCAATTTAGCTTTCTCTGCCAAGTCACCATGCTACTGCAGGTCATTCGATATGTCGAAGCCGAAGATTCCGCCGAAATAACTTAATAATACCGTCTAAAAAAAGATGTCTTGGACGTCAAAATAGGCTGAAATTGCCGACTTCACTTCATCATTGTCTACAATTTTTCTCTCACGCAGTTCTTTCTTCATTTTTGAAAACAAATAATAGTCGCTTTAGGCAAGGTCTGGGCTGTAGGGTGGGTGGCGCTGTTGTTCAAAATCGCTAGGTGAATGGCAGCCGTCGCAACATGGCTTGTGTGCACGGGCGCATTGTCGTGCAAAAGGAACACGCCATTTGTAAGCTTTCCTCGCCTTTTTTCTTTAATAGCTCTTTTAATTGATCTAGTAAAGAAGCGTAGTATCCTCCCGTTATGGAAACACCACGTTCTGTGTCCCAAAAAATAGTCGCCATGATCTTTCCGGACGATTGAGACACATTAAACTTCTTAGAAGGGGGTGTGTCTTTTTTATGCCACTGCATCGACTCTTGCTTTGACTCAGGTTCATAATGGTGAACCCAAGTTTTATGAACAGTTACAATTCGGGCCATAACTTCCTCCCTTTGCACTCCACAGCGGTCCAAAAACTCGCGACGACCTTCGACGTGCTCATGTTTTTGATGCGCAGAAAGCATTCTCGGAACCCATCTTGAAAAGTGGTTTGGGGTGTCTCCTTGTTTGGTGAGAAACTTAATGACTGCGCGATATTCAATTTTCTCCATAGTAGCTAGTTTCTTCCCGATTGACTTGTTTACTTATTGATAACACAAAAGCTAATGACCCGATTAGGCTGAAACTTGGTATTATATACTAACAATGAGTCACTAGGGCCCACCTAGGGCTAGTCAACTAGGGCCTACCTGGATGAGTAAACTCACCGTCGCTAACCCCGCCATTCCGCGAACTGACCTCCCCTCGTATATTTAAATCTGAGTGAATATAGCACCGCGATAGTTTCCCGCAAGTGGTCAAAGAACTATGGACTTATTGTTTATAATTTTATCCTAGTTGGTTTTTGTTAAATTTATTACTTTTACTTTAATAAATTATGGCACATTATAAAATATATTATCATACTTTTCTTTATATATACCTATTAAAACAAACTGCATAGTAACAAAAAAAAACCACAAAATATCATCCTTTATAAAAAGTATCTCAATCACAACCTCTAATGATTTAATTTTATTTCATATACACCGTAATTCAGTGCAAATGAATGTAAAACATATTCTCCTCCTCCATTCATGTAGTTTTTCCGAACACCTATTTCTAATTTATCGCGAATGACTTTAAACGAATGTTAACGGACCGATGAAGTGAGAAGCGAGACGCCTAATGCGTTTTCATGCCATCCAAGTTTGTTATCATCTATTTGAGGTTATACCGTTCATAATAGCTTAAGGAATGATGCACATGGTCGAAATGTTAAATGTGTAATTGTATTTTTTTTAATTGTTTATATTACAGAATCTCACCAAAATATACAAAGGTCGAAAAAAGGCTGTAGATAACTTGAATCTCAGAATGTACGAGAATGAAATAACAGTGTTATTAGGTCACAATGGCGCCGGAAAAACAACCACCATTTCTATGCTGACAGGTAATATTTTTATTAAAATACGACAAGTGAAATGTCGATTTCAGCGGCAGGCCACGCAGAAAGTTTTGCGAAAAGCCGTTTTCATATGTGACACTGACCAAAAAATACAATTATTTACAAGTAAAAATATACGCATGTTTCAATTTCTAATTTCTCTTCGCCTTTTTTAAGAGCTAACTTGAAGCATCATATTTCATTAAAAAATGGATCAACGTTGGATCATTTTTGGCGGGTTGGTTAGGCATATTTTCAAATGTCGCTTGAAACCAGAGGAATCGTTTGATATACTTCAAATGGAATATACGTATAAAGGCTAAGGCAACGGTGTACCGCTCGTATAACAAATTTCAGCACGGTCGACAAACTTTGAAAGATGAAGAAAGAAGTGGTCGCCTTACATACATTTTCTTGCGTAACAGTTGACAGTTACGGAATGAAACATAGGTTACGTAGGTAAACAGGTACCAGTTTTAATTAGAAAAAAATATTGAAGGAAATGGGCGTATTACGTATAAAGAGATTCAGCACATTTACAGATTAAATAAAAGATCAGAAAACGTTTAAGAGACTTGAACGAGTAGCACAGTTTAGGCACGTAAATGTCTTTTTGTCTTGCTTTCACATTTTAAAGTAAAAATAATTAATTTTGTATTATATATAAACACAAGATTTTATGCATAATTACAAGTTGTTTAAATGTTGATCTTTGATAAGGATTATTATTTTAGGTATGATTCCACCCACGTCAGGCTCCGCTTCAATTAACGGGTACAATATTGTGACCGAAACGGAGCTTGCTCGCAAATCGCTTGGTATTTGCCCACAACACAACGTCCTCTTTCCGGACCTCACTGTCGCCGAACACATTATATTTTATTCACGGTTAAAAGGTGTGCATAAGAACAAAATCCAAGATGAGGTCGACCATTTTGTTAAGCTTCTTGATTTGGAAGCTAAGGTACGTATTTTACTGTTTCAAAATTATTAGTTTATATATTCTATATTAATTAGTTATTAGTTAGTTATTAGTTATATGCATTTTGTCACATGCTTGCCGTCAGAGGCAACTTTGTAAAGTACTAAAAAAATCTCATAGCCTCCGCTAAATGAAGGCATAAACATCTCGAATATACCAGTTGTAAATACCCAGACTGATGAAAAATGCAGCGTAAATGATGCAATATGTTTATAAATTAATATTTCGTTGTTTTGCAGAGAGACGTTGTGTCAAATAACCTATCGGGCGGTCAAAAGCGTCGATTGTCAGTTGGTGCCGCTATGTGCGGCTCTTCGCGCGTAGTTTTACTGGATGAACCGACTTCAGGGCTGGATCCCGCTGCAAGGAGGTCCTTGTGGGACTTGCTACAAAAAGAAAAGAAAGGTATTTATTTGTCCAGATCCCGTATTATCGTATCCAGATCTCAATAATCATAGGTTCAATTATTCTGGTGAAATAAATAAGATAAATGATAATGGAGAGAGTATAATTTAAAGGTGTGATGATGTATGTGATCTTTGATACCTTATATATATTTAATACGACAGGACGAACGATGATCTTGACTACGCACTTCATGGACGAAGCTGACGTATTAGGCGACAGAATCGCCATCATGTCCGGTGGGCGCTTGCAATGCATCGGAACTCCTTACTTCCTTAAAAAGCATTACGGTATCGGCTACAAGCTCACCATTGTGAAGACTGAACAGTGTAACGTTGAGAATGTGACGAGTTTCTTTAAAAGCTTTGTGCCGGATATCAAAGAAAACACTAATATAGGTTTGCAGTGATTTTATTGTTATTTTCAAAGAAGATTGAAAGATTTTTAATATTTTTTTAACATAAAACGAATGTCTATGCTCTATCAATATACACTGGTTATCTCAAATTATTTTAAAATGTTACAGGCTCTGAGTTGACATACATATTGTCCAATGAACAGGTTAGTAAGTTTCCTGACATGCTCAAGGAATTTGAAGAAAAACGACAGTCTATGCATGTGTCCAGCTATGGTCTATCGGTTACTAGCCTCGAAGAAGTCTTTATGAAGTAAGATTTTATTTTATACTATATATGTATACATAATAAATTTCCTTTTTTCTGTAAGCATTATTAAAAGCCGCAATCGCCACGTTTAGGAGACAGTTCGGCAATCTCAATACCAGAAGTATCACAGTTTTGATGCTGTTAAACATCGTTAGGTATTTTACATCTAATTTATCATATTATTGTATAGTTGTAGCACGAATGGTTCGGTTCGACCGGGAAAAGACCACGCTCTCACAGAATACCAGCGTAAAATAGCAGCTTAATGCTGCTGTGTTTCGTATGATGAGTGTAGAGAACCGGAGACCCTTTTTACTGAAAAAGGGGCATACCATTTTAGTCCTCACGGCTGACAACGCTTCTGGATTTTGATTCGCAAACGAGGATAGATGTAGATGTCTATGGGCCACAGCAACCGCTTACCATCAGGTGGACTGTGTGTTCGCTTGTCATCCTTATCCTATCTACTACTACTACAGCCCGTGATAAGTCCACTGCTGGACATAGGCTATAGATGTGTCATTTTATTAAGTGTTAATTAAAGTAGCAAGAACACATTCACAGAATAATGAAAATGCATACAATGTAAATTAAATATTTTTGTGCTATATTTAATGTTTCTTGTGTAAAATGTTTACATTTCCCTAATAATACTACACTTTTCCTTCACGCAAAATCAGCCATCAAAATATCGATTTATATTATTTGTTTCAAGAGCTGGTGTAGAAGATCATTCGGAAGTGTCTTCGGGTAAAAAACACAATCACGTCGGTATGAACGACTGTGCAGTTGTACCTATAGAAGCACATCAAAACAATATAGGTAATATGAATTATTTCCATGGAACAAAATATGAAGTTGCCTACAATATCATAACTTTATATATTTTTCAGTATCAAACGAACCGATACAAAAAGTCAGAGGACTACGATTGCTCAGAAATCATATAAAAGCAATGTTCCTAAAGCTCATTTACAACACAATGAGGAATAAACTTGCAGCCCTTATTCAGTTCGTTACTCCTATCATTAACATAACACTATCGGTAATAATAGCTCGGTCCTGGAAATTCTTATCACAATTGCCGCCATTAGAGTTGAGCTTAGAGAATGGTTATAGAGCAACGGAGACTTTAATGTCTCAAGGTATGAATTTAACTGAGGGCAGTCTAGAAAACAAAGCCATGTTAGCATACAAGGATTACTTCAAATCCTCCACGAAAGCTGGAATGAAGATCACTGACTTGGGTACAATGAATTTGGGAAAATTTTATATGAAACTCGTAAGTATCAACATATTATATAAACTTCATGAATGAAAATAATTTAAAAATTCGTCGATACAAACCTGTTTGTATCAAATATTTTAGAATAATTGCAACTAATTTTATATACAATATAAATAACATTAATGTAAGTATATTGCAAACCTATCATAAATTAAATTTAAAAATGTTTCACAGTGTGAGGCAGACTTGTCTCGTGTGCGCTATGAAAACCTGATAGGTGCCACATTCGCCCCGCATCGCATAACGGGTTGGTTTAGCAATTTTGGATATCACGACTCTGCCATCTCGCTCGCACTCGTAAACAACGCAATAATGCGTGCTCTGTCACCCGGCAGTTCCTTGCGCATTATAAATCATCCTCTACCTTATTCGATAGAAAATTTGGTAAGTGGTGGTATATTCATCTTATTCATCCTAGTGAAATCTCGTTCTATTTTCACAGCGTAATGAAAAGTATGTACTATTACTTGTTATTAACAAAAGAGTGAATACAATTTGCTGTTGCTCTGTACTTTACAATATACTCTTAAACTTATAGCCGCAAGATTATTTTATTATTTACATTGTACATATAACATACTATTCTTTGAAAATTTAATAAACCAAATATTATTAAGGACTTTAACTTATCCTAAAATGCAAAATGTAAGTACTTAGTTTTTGTATAACACATTGAAACCATAACGATTATACTATTTGATGATACTAATTCCAAAGAAACAACCATCATTTTGTGTCAGCGAGCCAAGCTCATGCTATGATACAATTAAATTTAATACATAATGATATAACTTTTTTATTTTTGTTTGGTGGGAAGACCTTTTTATGGCAATTGGCAAATTGATTGTAAATTAAAAAGTATTACTTTTTTTAACGAGATATAGGAATTTATATTATCAGCTTATTTATACTTACTTAATAGTTATGTTTTTAGGTTAGGATCATGGCAACAGGGAGCAGTATGGGATTTCAATTTGCATTCAACATAGGATTTTGCATGGCTTTCGTCACATCCTTCCTGGTCCTTTTTGTTATAAAGGTAAGAAATTAGTGTACTGTATTAAAATACAGGTTGTTATTTGACACTTATTTATAATGCCATCTTTTGTGCAAGTTCAAGTGGAATTGTAATATTGTTAACATTATCAAAGTAAAGATATCGTAAAAATTACAATACATATATGTGTCGCCATTTCGTTGAGCTGAATTGGGTATGAATGATAACTCTTTATTTTTTGACATATGAAATTAAAATTGATTTATGTTTCTAAAGTTAAATGTACTATCTTTACCTACATTATTTAAATTTTATTATCTAAAAGACTAATAATTTCAAATTATAATCGGGATTTGCCTGCTAGAATCCGTAGCCATAATGTAAGCTGTAGAACAAGTACGATAAATTACTTAACGGAAGTTGTACTGCGCCATCCGTATTCTTTGCTTTAATAGCCGACGACCGTAAACAAGTAGCTTAAATCATGTTTTGTCAAAAACCATTGGGAGATGTACAATATGATCTAATGAGCTGTAATGGTGATTATTATGTATAAAGTAATAAATAAAAGTAGACTTTTTTATAGGTACTTACCACAGTCCACCTGATGGTAAATGGATGCTGTGGCCCATAGACATCTACATCTATCCGTGATTACGAATCAAAATGCAGATACGTTGTCACCCTTGAGGACTAAGATGGAATGCCTCGTTTCCAGTAAAAAGGGTCCCCGGTTCTCTACACTCACCATACGAAACACAGCAGTATTAAGGTGCTATTTTACGCTGGTATTCTGTGAGAGCGTGGTCCTTCCCCGGTCGAGCCGACCCATTCGTGCTACAATTCAAATTCAAATTCAAATAGCCTCTATTTCTGATAGTATAATACATTTGGAGAATTATTATAATTGCAAAATTTTATTATTTTATATTATTATAAAAAAAAATTGCATTCGTGCTACAACTATACTACAAATATAGCTGCGGCATGCATCTACCACGTACTAAAGACTCGAGATAATTACGTAAATATGACCATGTTTTTCTTTTCTGTACTAAACTCAAATGGTTGCTAATAATTCATTGAAAAGCTCACACTCTTCATGTTCTCTACAGCGTTCTCTTCAGTCCTTCATATCCTTCTTTAAATTATGTTTTGAGTTTCTTCATGATTTCCAATCGCTGATCCTGAGATCTGCACAGAGTTTTGATTGAAAATGCCACTACACACTAGTAAACTTATAAACGCGTCATTTAATGTACAGGCTGTTTGTTTATGGAATAAACCCCTTGGCAGTGAAACGCGCACCGTCAAGTACATTTTGCAGAATTCGTTTTCATATTAGCATCGATCACTACTAAAAAACTATATACACAATCCCATGCACAAGTTCTCCAAAATCTTTCACCAATTGTTTTGTCGTAATTCTACTTGAAATAAATAGACATTAATGTAAATTCAACCTTAAATGCATTGCCTAAAGTTGTATTCACTAAGCTGAATACAAATTAAAAGCGCAATCAAATGTTCTAGTGGGCGCTCATTCGGTAAGGACATTTTGATTGTGTATCTAGTTTTTTATTAGTGATCGATGCGTATTAGTCATGTATATAATTTATATAGTATTTTTATTGCATTTATTCGTATACATAAATATATAGGTATATATTATATGATATGAGCTATATTGCTTTTGTATGTGTAAGGGCTATTATGTCTTCTACGTATAATGTACTTTTTTATTACTTTATCCTATCATAACGACCCACCCTACCTTCACCCTATCATTCTTACAATCCAGTTCATCCATTGGCTGTCTAGAAGAGATTATTGTCGGCAATAATCAGATCACTTATTTACACCACTACACCACCACCATCAACTAGTACCACTAAATATGCCATTGTTTCTTGTAGTGTAATAAGACTTACACAACTCGATTAAGCTAAATTTGTACCTCACAGCAATGCGAGAGGAGGTGCCGTTTCCCTGCTGTCAATCTCGAATTCATACAGTCGCGTCAGTACGGTTACCGTCTTTATTATACGCACATCCACGGAGCAAATACAAAGAGGAGGTGTTTTAATTAGATTTCACTATGTAACAACGCGTGACAATTTGCGAGATGAGGGAATGTTAAGCCCCGCCTACTTTACTGTTTTCTATCTACCGATAAATAGTAAAACTACTCGAATCGTTCCATATCGAGGTTGCAATGTAGTTTAGCTACCTTGACGATAGATGTCGGCCTGTTCACAAAATGATTATAAAAACTATAAAAATAATATTTTGGCGATTAAAAATTCTTTACGACTGAATGCAAAACAAAATCAACACCTTCGTATGTTTATTTTACCAATACTGTGCTCTACGTACCTTTATATTTTTAGTTCCCATGACACAAAGTGTCGCCAGCTAGTGTCGAATATATTAAATTACATTTGAAAGCCGACGCAGATTTTTCTAGAACCATTTTAATAAATTAGGTATAAAATTACTTACAAATGAAATGTGATGCCATCCATAGCATCAGAGCGTCTATCTGAGTAGTTTTTACACGATGAAACACAACACTTCATCGTTTTCTTCTTAATACTACGAAAATACACGGATTTGCGATTTTCGACACATAAGCGCAGAGGGCGAACGATGACAGTATACTAAGTAAAGCCACGCCCACTGTGATGACGTCAGGACCTAGTTAGAATCACAGTGCACAGTTGCTTATGTCATCTCCTCTTTGTATTTGCTCCGTGCGCACCAAGTGCAAACTTAGCTCAACCGAGTTATAGTTGTGTATTTACTACACGATTAATAATGGTGTCTAATTAATATACAATTATGTAAACATCAGGAGCGCATAAGCGGTGCGAAGCTGCTTCAACGAGTGTCAGGCGTGCGTCCGGCCGTGATGTGGGGTAGTGCCTTAATATGGGACTGGGCGTGGCTGTTCTTAGTGTACCTGTGCATTATCCTGACTCTCGCATGCTTTCAGGAGAATACGCTCTCAACCCCGGAAGAATTAGGTGATTGTAAATTCCATAATTATAATTAGTTTTTGGTATTATAATTACTTATTTAATACAACAAATAGTTACATACTTCAACTTTACGTAAAAAATAACAGGTATTTATACTTAGCATTTAATTTAATAATTTTGAGCTACATTATTCCACATTAAAACTTAATCCTCATGGGTTTTTTATAGGATAAAGGTGACAAACGAGCACACAGTCCACCTGATGGTAAGTAGATTCTGTTGCCTACAGACATCTACATCTATCCTCGATTAAAAATCAAAATGCAGATGCGTTGTTACTCCTGAGGAACCAAGATGGAATGCCTCGTTTCCAGAGGGGCTCCGATTCTCTGCACTCACCATACGTAACACAGCAACAATGAGCTGTTGTTTTACGCTGATATTTGGTATTCTGTGAGAGTGTGGTTCTTCCCCAGTCTGGCCGATCCATTCGTGCTAAAGCCATAATGTTACTGCAGCATGACTCTACGACGACAAAGAACCCGCGTTTATTCAAAATATTTAAAAATCGATGTTCAACACGCTTGTTTGTCTTTGATACTTGATAACTTCCAAAATATCGTTTTCTATTTATTCCTTCTCATTATTCAGGGCGTGTTCTCCTAGTGCTAATGGTGTTCTCGCTGGCGACTATACCATTACACTATTTGGCGTCCTTTTACTTCGAGGCCGCTGCCACTGGATTCTCAAAAATGTGTTTCATGAACATTTTCTGCGGTAAGACATGTTTTATATTAGATTTAAAATAACTTCGCATTGCAAATTGCCTATTTTAAATATTTTTACAGGGTGCATGCCATTTCTTATAACTGAGGTGTTGCGGTTGCCTGAAGTAGGCAGCCCCTACTATGCGCATATATTTGATTGGATATTTTCGACCTTGCCCATTTACTGCATAAGTCGAAGTTTAAGGTAATTACATTACGGTAAATAAACAGCGGATTTGAATAATTGATCCACAACTTGCATTTGTTTTTACACTTTTTAAATCTGCATTTTACTCATACGCATGCACGCTTGCACGCATGCACGTACCGACAGGCACACTAACGCACCCATACACCTGTTAACGCATACATGCATGCACTCCCACATACACAAACATAAGCACGTACATAAAAAAGTCATGTAAGTTTATGGTAACGCCTAAAATTATGATTTATACAAATAAATACATGATTGTTATTCTTTTCAAAACGGTGTGATTATTTTATGCATTTTATGTTTTCGTTTATTTGATCAGTATTAATCTGATTTTACTCGAAATGAATCTGTTTTGTGAGATTTAAAGATTTCACTAGAGAGAATCAGATGAGCTAATGATATTCTAACTCTTGAGTGACGATATAATATACTATATTATTCTAATCTTTCGTAATTAGTAACGAAGGAGACCTCTGAGCTACTATCAAGCAGGGCCTTAAATTGGACTGCCATTCCACTTCGTGAAAAAGCGTCATGGCTTACGCTGCCTATCGTTATTTAAAAATAATAGCTTAATATCACCAGTATCAAAGAGAATATAACCACTGCGTTTAAGAGGCGGGACTTCCATAGTAAAAGTAAATGTGAACATGAAAGTACGCCAAGCTACTCTACCAACATCAAGATATGACATTTAGTTTGACAAACAGTGTTCACAACATTGACGAATTACAATAGTGCTGTAAATGTCTATTCTCGAATAATTTTATCGATATATTGTTTATCGATATTTTTACATAATAAAAGTTAGATCTCTATACTGAATTATTTATTAGAAATAAATTTTTTAACGTGGGGATTGAGTAAAATGCCGATGAGGATAAGAAATCAATGTATTTTACACACAGCAATTTGTAATTATATCTCTACAACTAGCTGTTCCCCGCGACTTCGTTCGCGTTTTAGGGTTTTTATGTTTTTGCGCGGAACCCTATTTATTTTTCTAAAATAAAAGTAGCCTAAGTTACTCCTTATCAAATCAGCTATCTGCCAGTGAAAGTCCCGTCAAAATAGGTCTAGCCGTTTCGGAGATTAGCCGGAACAAACAGACAGACAGACAGACAAAAATTTTAAAAATTGTATTTTAGTTATAAGTACCGTATTTACATTCATAAGAATTTAGTAATAAAATTTTTTGACGTTACAAACAGACACTTCAATTTTATTTATTTGTATAGATTAGGTACAAAAATATGTATAAAGAAAATATAAAATAAAAAACGCACTATTATACTAGTAATTAATTAAGTAAAAAATAAACGACGACTCCGTAGCGCAGTGGCGAAGCGTTTGGCTGCGGCATTGCAGGACCGAGGCTTCGTTCCCGCACTAAACAATTGTTGCTATGCTGTAAAATAAATAGTCTGCGTCTGGACGTTTGTTTTTTTTTTTCTTAAGGGTAAAAATATTAGGTTTTTAACACTGATTGGATTAAATTGCTTTTATGTGTAACAAATACTATGTACAAATCGCTAGACTTCTACACAGAGATACCTATGTTCATATTTTATCGCAGAGATCGTTTACTAATTGTCGCTTTCAAAATGAGTGCTCATTATAGCTAATGTTTGTAGATGAATCCATAAAAAAAATTTATAACCAGGTAATTACAAATAACTTTGAGTTTATTTATATAATCGAATTCTTACCAAAATGTCACTTTAGAGGGATATTGTCTTTTGCTACATATAAATGAAACCTAATTAACATACACATTATTATGTGTGAAGTTTAAATTATACTGATGAAATAACAGTTCGTTTTAGTTGGGTTCAAATGCAATGTTTGCCACAAATATGTTTTAACATGTGAATCTTTTCAATTGGTGCATTTGCCAGCTATTTCACCCATTGCTTGCATCTGAAAAAATAATATAAATAAAATCACATTTTTATTGAACAAATAGAATGTTAGCAGTCACAATTGACTGTGTAGTTTCTAAGTACAGTTCGTTTCGGATTGCCATACCATCGAACTATCAGATTTAGGAAATAGTGTGTTTGTATTTGTGCACACAATCGTATACTATAAAAACCTGTCCTACGTAGATGGTTAGTCCAAAAATGTACTCGCGTTAAATATCATATTACTATTAAAGTTGAAATCACCACAAACCTTTCATCATCTAAGGGAAATATTGCTACAAATAGCCTTTTCTTGTTATCATTTTTCCGCTTCTTGCACCATTTAATTTGAAAGTTTTATAATACATATTTAATTTTTTAACAATTCTGTAAATGAACAACGGCTCCTATAGCAAAATTAAAAGCAATCTTAATAAATAAAATATATACAAATATAATTGTTTGATTTGACATTTGAACCTATTTGATTTGACAATGTCGTTAATAGACATTACGAAAAGCAGAAAGAAAAGATAACCGTCATTCAAATTTGACCCCTGTAGTACATATAATTTTTACTATGGAAGTTGTACCAGCCTGACCAGTATGGCTTAGGTTTGACATTTTTTTAAATATTTTCCTTCATTAGTCAGTTGTGAAAACCTCGTACGTCAAAGTTAACGTTTCGAGAAAAGTTGGTATTATTCCCCTTACATCCTACTTTTTAACCGATTTTCTTTCATTTTTTTTAATCCTATATATGATGTACGACCAGGGACATGAGCGTGTCGTCATTCTCGATGCTGGCGTGCGACGGGCTGTGCGAACAGTTCGTGAACATCGACAACTGCACGCGGCACACCATCTGCCAGCACCTCAACATCACGGTTTGTTGTAGTAAGTGAGTCCCAAATCTTGTCCTGCTCTATTTGATGAACACAGTCCTCCACCAAGGAATGCCACAAAACTTTGTCATTTCTAATAGGTGTAACGATTGGCTGGTGTGTCACACACACAGTACTAGAAAATACAACACAAGTAAATAACGTACGCACTCCATTCATAAGACGCTCCCGTTCCATCTCCCACCATTAATACAGTACCTACGTCACTACTTCTTTCTCTTTCGTATTCTCTCGCTTACTTCACTGGCTCACGAAACGAATGAAAATATTTTTATTTATGATTAATTGCAAGTTTTCCTTCATACTTTTACGGGCTTAGGACCGGCAAAATTACTTTCAGTGAAAAAGGTATTAAGAAAATAACAAAATTAAATTATTTACAGAGCGGACACGGAAATTAAATTAGGCATATTTAAAAAGTAGCTATCAGCTATTTACAATATTTACAGTATGTACTTACATCTACGCACACATTTACACTATCACTAACTTACAAGTACGAGGGTGGATTGAAAAGTACTCGGCCTAACCAAGAAAATAAACACATACTAAATCAGTTATATTTTTATTTTTCTACATAATCACCATCAAGTTCAATACACTTTTGCCACCTCCCATTCCAAGCATTTAGACCGTTGAAAAAAAAATGATTCTTCCTTAGAGTCAAAATATGCGTCTACAGCTGCTTTGACCTCGTCGTTTGTCGAAAATCTTTGACCTCCCAAGTGCTTTTTAGGTTAGGGAACAGAAAGAAGTCTGATGGTGCCAGATCAGGTGAATACGGCGGATGCGGTAACAGTTCAAAGCCACAGTTGTGAATTTCAGCCATTGACTGTACTGACGTGTGAACACGGGCGTTATCTTGATGAAACAGGACTTTTCTTCTGCCTAAGTACGTACAACATACAGATCTTTGGTTGGTGTGACTCCACCGCTGTTCTAGGCTGGTTGCACGGAGACGCTGCACGATGGAAGCCTTTCGTGGCGAACAGGGTCAAACAAGTGATCACAAATATGCCCCCCGCCTGCTGGCGCTATGTGAAGTCGGAGGAAAATCCAGCAGATTGCGCCAGCAGGGGCTTAACAGCAGGACAACTAAAAGACCACCCGCTTTGGTGGCAAGGGCCCTCTTGGCTACTAACATATAAACAAGATGTAGAAAACAACCCTATGTATACAACCAACGAAGAGGAAAAGCAAGTTTTAGTAGCTCAGAAAGCAAAAGAAGAAGAAAAAAGCTACATTTTACCGCAACTTATAGAAAAACAAAGCTCATTTACACGCTTAGTAAGAATATTAGCATGGATTCTACGAGTCAAAAAAGATAAAACTAAACAGAGGCAGCCCTACCTAACAATATCAGAGTTACAAACAGCTACTAATTTATTAATAAAACATGTGCAATCAGCCGAATTCAAAGACGATATCAATAACATTACGCAAAATAAACAAGTACCGAAAAAGAGCCCATTATCAAAGTTGAATCCGTTCATAGATAAAAATGGCATCTTAAGAGTAGATGGCAGATTAGAACTCGCAAATATCACATATAATATGAAACATCCAATAATTTTGCCGAACAGAAGCCGTTTTACACAATTACTGATTGATAGCGCGCATAAGATCACATTTCATGGCGGCGCGCGATTGACGTCAGCGTTCATTCGACAAAAGTACTGGATTGTTGGCGGAAATCGAACAATTAAAAGGTTAATAAGAACCTGTATAACCTGTCGACGTCACGCTCCCAGCATACAACCCCAGATCATGGGTGATTTGCCTGAAGCCAGGACAAACCCCTCCCGTCCTTTTTATCATACAGGAGTTGACTACACGGGTTACGTGGACGTCAAGGCAAGCAAGGGTCGAGGCATAAAAACAAACAAGGGTTATGTGGCTGTATTCGTGTGCATGGCAACAAAGGCCGTGCACCTCGAACTCGTGTCCGACCTCACGTCGTCAGCATTTTTGGCCGCACTGCGTCGTATGGCAGCTCGTCGAGGCGCGCCGCGTCACATATATTGCGACAACGGCACTAACTTCGTCGGTGCTAGCCGTGTTCTAGAACAAAACATAAAGCAGCTTAAAGAAAATATTTCTGATCCAGAATTCTTAACTGAACTTACGAAAATGGAGATCGAATTCCACTTCAACGCTCCTTCTTGGCCATCAGCGGGAGGACTCTGGGAGGCTGCGGTCAAGAGCCTGAAATATCACATCAAACGTGTTATCGGAGAGCAAAAATTAACATTCGAAGAGTACTCAACGATACTTACTCAGCTAGAAGCGTGCCTTAATACTAGGCCGCTGTGTGCATTAACTGAGGATGTGGAGGACCTGGACTTCTTAACGCCTTCGCATTTCTTAACTGGAACAGCTGATGTAACCATACTGGAAACAGAACACGACGCGCGAACAAGATGGAACTTAACAGAAAAACTAATGGCTGATATCTGGAAGCGCTGGAAATCGGAATACCTTACACAACTTACCGTTCGAAACAAATGGAAGCAGTCGACATCTAACATTCAAGTCGGTCAATTGGTGACAATTCAAGAAGATAACTTACCTGCTGGAAAATGGTTGACAGGTCGAGTTATACATTTACACCCAGGAAAAGATGGTTTCGTTCGAGTTGTCTCCTTGAAAACAAAAAACGGAATTTTAAAACGGCCAGTTACCAAATTATCCATACTGCCACTGCGAAGAAACCAGGAACCTGAACTCAGAAAACACCAGATAACAGCTACAACAAGTCTGCTGTCAATTTGTGCTGCATTGCTATTTTTCTTGAGTATAATCATACCTACGCAGGGTGCTTATACTATTCAGCAACTTAATCAATCTTTGTATTTCGACGCTATTTCCAACATCCAACTTATTCGAGACAACTGGAAGCTCATAATTTACTACAACATGCAACCATTTTGGGAAGGCTCCGAAGCACTTGACAAATATCAAAAACACATGGACAACATATGTAAAACAATGAAGGGTGACGGTCATTGTGATGCGATGCTATTGCAGTTACGTCATAGTACCAGTGAACTCGAGTACTACAACCGCATGTTGCTAGGTAAACAAACCGAGCACGACAGACAGAAACGAGGGCTTATCAATGGTGTCGGGTATATCGCGAATAGTCTCTTCGGAGTACTCGACGACCATTTCGCAGAAAAGTATGAGCGAGATATCACACTCGTCAGACAGAATGAACATCATTTGGCTTCCCTGTTCAAGAATCAAACGTCTATTATCGAAGCGGAATACAACATGATGAAAAGAATGGAAGAAGTTATGAGAAAACAACACAAGATTATCAACAAACAGATTAGTGCTTTAGACAGCAACATAAACAAAGTAAAAACAGAATTGGAAAAACTTTATAACATCAACCAATTTTTGGCTATGTCTGTCATAGCGAACAATTTACTGCTGAACCTGAAAAGCATACAAAACATGATGACAGACGCTATCACCGATATATATCATGGAAGGTTCGATGTTCATCTCATAAGCCCTACTCAGTTGAGAAATGAACTGAACACAATATCTGGACAAATACCTAAAGACTTGACTCTACCTATATCAAACATACAATCAGATTTTCAAAAAATATATCAGTTTCTTCAAGTGAAAACAAAGATGACTAATAAGTACTTGATTTTTGAAATCAGATTACCATTGGTCAGCCGAGATAATTACAACCTATACAGAGTTATACCGATTCCTCATAAACGGACCAACAATTTTGTGAACATTAAACCGATTGCAGATTACATTGCAATTAATTTAGAAAAGGATATCTACATCCCAATGACATCTATCGATTTACAAGAGTGTTTTATGTACGATTTTTCAGCACATTTATGCCACCTCAAACACCCCATATACCAAAGAAATTCAGATGAAGATCTGTGTTTGAAGAATAATTACACAAATCAGTGCCAAATAAACATCGCCGGGTGCAGAAACATGTTTATTCAATTAAATAAAGCGAACAATTACTTATTTACAACGTGCGACAAATGCAACGTAAGAATTTTTTGCGGTGATCAAGTTACCGTGGAACGGCTGAGAGACGCCGGGGTCATTGCGCTGGAACCCGGTTGCTCAATCAAAAGTGAAGAATTATCAATCTATACGCACAAAATACGAGTGAATTGAAAACCGGACCTGAAATTTATACGCCTGAAATCGCTGCTATTAACCAAATTATCAAGCTCTCTATCCCAGACACAGGAGAGTTGGAAAAAGACGCTGACAGTTTCCAAGCCAACCTAACCACCTTGAACGAAAACATCAAACACCTAAAATCCCAAAATGTGATCGCTGAAAACATAACATTCCATGACATACATCATTACGTCGCGATTTACATCCTGGTGGGAGTGGCTGTGATAGCTGCTATATGCCTTGCCTGCAAACGACTATGACAAAGAAGAAACACGGCTATCACTTCAAGTATTAGCCTCGATAACATAACCACGGAAGGTGTAAGCTCCGCTCCTGTGGCTGCGCTGGCCGCCCCGAGAGCGCAGCGCGCCGCTGCAGTGCCCGCCCCGAGAACGCAACCCGTCGCCGCCAGCACCGCGACGCGCGAGCGTGCGTCCTCACCCGCGGTCCCGAACGCGTTCAACACTCAACACCGACCAACATCTCCTATATTGCGAACTCTCATTCTTAAACGCGATGAAGAATAATTTTATACCTAACTTTTCTCAAATAATTTTACTTTTTTATGTATTTTTAGTTTATCTCCCTTGTTGTGCGGGAAGATGTTCAGTTTACACCGAACACATTATGTACGCGTAGGCATTTTACTTTATAGTTTTTATTTAAGTCAGTACATGTACGGACGCCAACATTGTCTCGTGTGTGCTCACATACATAACATTTATAAACATTGTAACAATAATATTATAACAATATAATAAACATTTTGTGCATAAACAGTATTTTAAGTAACATTTACATCAAAAGGTGTTGAAT